TTATTGAGTAGAAGGCTCATGGTCTCAAACTATATATATACCTTTAATGTCTATTTTAAGTAGTTTGTCTACAACTTACATTATAGGTTTTATACTAAATACTATACCTGTAACTTATTACAGATATTACCTATTTAAATCCTCTTTAATGCAATACTGCTTATATTATCAATATATTTCTGTTATATTTATTAGTCAAAAAATTCTAAATTATGATCCATTTACTTAAAACTAATTTATCCTCAAGGCATTGTTACTAAAGCTTTTCATACTTACAATTTGACTAATCTAGATTTTGGTAATTTATATTATGTTCAAGGACAAGTACTTGTAACCTTTTATCTTTACTACCATTATCTATTTCTACTCTTGTAGAGTTTATCTAAACCTTAATATATACTTTATTATTAATTTAGATGATTCAAAAAGACTGTGATCTGCACTAGTTCTTATAGTTAGGTTCTTTTCTTCCAGTTACTCTTTCTTAATAAAGTGCTTGTTAAACACTTCAGTTTTGTTTAGTTTTCTAGTTCTCTAGATGATAATCTTTTATTCAGATCTTTCCAAACAGACTTCTGTATTTTTTAATTTTTTGGTTTTATACAGCTGCTTTACTCAGATTTTATACACAGTATATATATATTATTCTATTGTTTTACAACCTTCTAGTACTAAGTATGATTATATTACAAGTGCAGACTTAATAAAATACAGTCTTCTATAATGCATTTCATGAATTCAAATTTATTACTAATAAAATTTAAAGTCTTGTTTTGCTGCTTGAAGTTGTAACAACTTACTAACTGCACTAAGTTACCACACTTTTTTTAATTAAAATAAAATTAAAAAATAAACTTAAAGTATTTATTTATATTTAAAAATCTAAAATTAAAAATATTGATTAAATATATATTACTATATTGAATTTTTTTTAAATATTAATAATGAGGCTATATCTTTATCTTTATTGAAATTTAATTAGACTTTTTTATAAGAAAAGAATATATTTAAATTTTATATTCTAATAAGAAAAAAAAACTCAAACTAATTTATCTGCAGCCTAAACCAACTAGATGATCATAGCTTACCTAACTTTAAAAGTTAGTAATTATATAGTTTAAATTTATTTGATATTTAATTTATAAAAAATATCAAAATATTAATTTATTGCTAGCTAGAATAAAAGATAAAAGCTATAAAGATATAAGAAATAAAAAAATTAAAATATAAGATAGTAAAATAAAATAATGGTAAGAGGTAGGATTAAAGACCAAGGAATACAATAAGATATTTAGATATTATGATAGATTTGTAAGTTAAAATGTATATAAAAGAACTTTTATAATAATTATAATAGCTGACTTAGTAGATAATGTAATGTTTTTAAGTAAACTTATAATATCAAAAGATATTAAATCTATAAATTAAAATTGATAAATGAAATATGATAATTACAATGAAATTTTATACTATCAAGATTTTTGATATAAAATAAAGTAGTAAAATATCCAGTAATAATAAATTAATAATCTGTTGTAAAGAGCTATCAATAAGATATAAAGTAATGATGATAGATAAATTGCTCAATGTAGTGATATACTAGTTTGATTATACTGGTGAAAGTAAGAGTTAGTATTTGCATTGAAGAATTTTTATTCGAAATAATTTGAGAATAGATGATTGAAAGCTATATATAAAATTTGTAATTTTTTGATTATTGTTTATATAAAACCATGTAGCAAACCAGTTGATATAACTAGCAATTGAAGATTACTATAGAAATCTGTTTTGAAATAACCACAAAGTATAGCTGTGTGTATAGCAAATAGTATAAATAGCACATTGTATTAAGTTCTAGAAGATACTCATCAAAATAAAAAGTAAAATTAGGATTGTAAATATTAAAAGGTTTAAGAATAAGATAATCTGAAGTAAGATGGCTTTAAACTAATTAATCAGCAAGATTGTTAAACCAGTCATCTTAATGTGCAGTAACTTTGTAACAAATAATTTGAAAACTGTATGTTTGGATAAAGTTGATAAGAATATACTAAAATATAGAGTATAAAAAGTTTGTAAAAAAAAGTGAATATAATAGCTGTTTAAAGCTATAATATTTAAAAATAATAAATTGTAAATCCATAAAATATAAACAGTGCAGGATTTAGATGCTGTAATAACTGCAGATAGTATAACAGTGAATACTGCTTTAAAGAGTATAACCAATATTTGATTTGTGCTTAAAATCTGTATAATATGTTCTCTTGATAAATTTGTACCCATAGAGCAGTTTGATAAGCCAAAGTCTAGTACAGAGCCATCTGTATAAAAAAAGATTTCAGAAAATTGAATGTTAGAGTTGGCTATAGTTTGAAGAGTATTAGTAAGAGAACTAGATTCAAATATAGATGAGATTTAAGCAATGTTGTAAATAATATTAGGAGTAGGTGAAATATGAAGGGGATGACAAATAGCAATAGAGTATATTAAATCTAAGAAATTAGTATAGGGTTTAATGGTTTTATTTTGTGAGTTTAAGTATAGAAAAATTATCTCCTTTACTTATAACGATATAATATGCTTTAAAAAGATTCAGGCCTGCCCGGCATGCGACTTTCCTTATTCTCACTCATGGTATATTATACTCATCTCAGTTCAAATGACTTTGTTTAATTATCAAATTGTCCCTTAAACCATCACACTACCATTAAAAATGATTTAAATATAGACTCGATCTAATATTTATTAATTTGTGCTTTCAAACGGTGTAAGGGGTAATGTATTCTGTGAACTTAAAATCTTTTAATTTATTCCCGACATCTTTGGTTTTGTTCCAACCTTATCTAAATTATTATCTAATGGTAATTAGAATTAGTTGCAAAAAAGAAATCGGAGATATACATACCCTAGCTTTTTGATTGTAAAGCGTAACACAAAATATGACTTATGTAAAGATCAATATGGGGTATTAATGAAATAAAAGAATAATAGTATTATTAAACTCGCATAACCAACCAAGTTACGTTACAATTCTAGATTTTGTAAAATAAATTATTTTATTGTTGAGTTTGTATTTTCATTTAGAGATTTAAAGAGTCAAAGAATGCTAAAAGTTTTTACAAGATCAATTGAAAACTTGTGGAATTTACTTAATTCAGGTTAACCAAATCTATTATCCAAAATGGTTTTAAAATGTTTATTATTATTGTTATTTTTTATATTGATGTCTAATTAATTTATGCCGGTAAAATTTCTCTAACTCTATCCATCTTGGTACTTTTTGGAGTTTTGTTAATGGACGTTAATAAGTCAAAAACGATCGTTTGTGATTTACGTTTTGCGCCAAGAGTGGTTGAATAACCCCTTGATGAACTGAATTTGTCCTCAAGTGCTAATAAATGAATTAAGAATTATAGTAAGATTTTGACGAAATTCATGAGCAATATTTTAAGTCGTACCTCGAAGCAATCCAACAACTTCTTCTCGCAAATTATTAAAGACATTATATAATCGAACTAATATGGGTAAGATGGTTTTACCCTCTTCAGATAAAACATTTTCGGGTACTTCAAGAGTTTTACGCCTAATTGTTGGGATAATGTGGTCCTTGGCAAGCTTAAACCTAAAAATATACATAATTTTTTTAATGCAATTAACAAAGAATGAATTTGTCAAAATGCAAACATAAAAGCTTTCTTACGTTAAATGCATTGGCCAGACTTCACACAATTGACCTGCTAAACACAAACCAAACAATTGTTTTTTTGGATCTTCATGTGATATTAATTCGTGCGCCCAAAATACACAAAGATCTAATCATTGCATATTGCAATTAGTAACTTGTTTAAATTGATTTGTTATCGAAAACTTATTAAACATAAAGAACATACGCATAGATTCAATTTTACGAGTTGTCAAGGGAATCAATTCAGTCGCATAACCCAAAAAATGCAAATTCCTCAACGATTCCAAATTTTCAATAAACATATGATGAAAGAAACGAAAGGCCGCCGTTCGAATTTTATCCAATGTATCTATATATATATATGTTCGCGCTAGGATTATTTAAACAAGTAAAAAAGTCAATTATGAATCAAATACTTACCAGGATTTTGCAAATCAGATGGCTTAGTTTCGCATTCTTTCATTAAGAGTGACAACAAAAGTGTCTCCTGACTACTAATCATATAATTAAGCTTATTCAGAGGAAAGACTTCCTGAGTAAATAAATTATTATAGATAAATATATATTAATGTTATTTATTGCTTACACATTGACTTCATGATAAGTTGTATATAATGACAAACAGCGCAATTACCTTATTAGTAAGTTCATCTTGCCACGCACGTCTTAATCTGAGACGTGATCCAACCATGTAAAATTTCAAGACCTGTTATAAAAAAAAAAGTTAAAATATGTGATCAAATTTAAAATTATGAATACAATTTAAATACTCCTTTGATTACTTTTAAAAATATCTGAAATATTTGTGGACATCGGAATACTTGACTATCGCAACGAAACATAACAAGCGGATCAAGCATGACATCGCGCTCTAAGAAACTGTTATTGTAAAAATTCAATTAAATAGATACACATTATTAACATTTACTAGCTCATAAGTGATTACAAAATTACCATGCATTCCTGTCTTCTTCGCTTCGTATAGCATTTATGAATAACAAAGCAGCTTTATGGGGATGAATAGAATATAATAAATGCCAGATTCCATGTATTGAATCTAGTATTGCGGGATCTTGTCTATAGACGAAAATAAAAAAGTTTTTACAATCAACAAGTAATCGACATTTAAATCATGTTAATTTATAACATACTTTTGCTTTAATAACTTGGGTAATAGAGAAAGAATAAGAGAATCAGACTGTACAAGTAAATATTCAGGTGCGATTGCTTCTAACTTTTTTAATGCTATAATTTTTTTTTAAAAAAATATATATATATATTATTATTATTATAGTCGCATACGTAAATTTAGAACTTATATGTTTAAGACATTACCTAAAACACTTTCTGTTGAATCTTCTAATTCATTTATCGCTGACATTACAATATTTTCAACGTCATCACTATTGTTAAGTGAAATACGACTGAAAATAATAAATAAATTAATAATTGCATAGTTTGAAATATATCGTCAAAAATTTTAAAAATAAAAATATACGTTTCACGATCTTCCTCAATAAGAAAGCTTTCAATGTCGAAAATCTCCGGATAATTGCTAGCCATTAGGCCAAGGAGTTCAGGGTAAATATTACGATAAGTATAACCATTGTCACATTTTTCTGCCTCAACTAAAATTCTTCTTGCAGGAATTAATTCAGTCAACTTGGACGAATAAGCTAAGTGATGGTTAAACATCATAATTCGTAATAAAATTCTCGATGAACAAAGAAACCATGCACAATAACAATAATAATGAGCTACCCATTTTTTGTTGATCCAAATTCTGGACATGATTCAGCTTCTTTTCTTTGACAACATCATTAAAAATCAATGCATAATACGTCATAAGAACGTGCGCTGGTGTGACTTTTGTAAAGCTTTCCAGGAAGAAATTAAATATCTTGTCTTCTGGTATCTTAGTCATTGGAGACCGATACAAATGATCCTCAAAGATACTTGTTTTAAAAAAAAAAAATTCTTATTGCACACGAACTATTAACGATGGATGCAAAATATTCAGAGATGTTTATTAACCTGCGAGCATATGCTTTCAATAAGGGCCCAAATTTGACATGTATCGGGATTTCTGCTTGCAAAATTTGTCGCCATATCCAAGATCGAATGTCAACACGGCCTTTGTGAAATACACCTCCAGTCAGCATAACATAGAAAGCCTCAAAGGCAATATCTTGTGGTACCTTAGATAACTAGGCAGAAAAAATGACAGGTTAATTTTGAAAGGGTTATTGTTATGCCGATTAATTCCTAATAAATAAGTAACAATACCCCTAATCCAGTAAAAGAAGTCTTAGGTTCAATTTCCAATGCGCATTTTGCTAAGATGTCTTCCTTAAACTGGGATCTGATAAAGGTTTCTGAACCATTCTCTAATGGAGCTGAAAAGTCGATATGCTATTAAGAATACATATAATCAAAATAAAGTCTGATATATTATCAAAGAAAATTAATAATTTAAAAAGTCACCAATTGCTACATCTAGTGTCAATGTTTCACGACAGATCTCTTGTATTTGATCGAACTGATTTGTATTGAACAAATATGCGAAAATCAAAAATATATCTGGATTTTCCGGATTTACTAACTTGGAAAATGCATTCGTAAATATTGGACGCATCTGAATATTGAGAAATAGTTGTTTTTAATTAAACCCCAAACATCAGAAAATTACCATAATGATCTTATTTTTACCCTGCTATCCGACACGATCCTTTGCCAGAACAATAATAAGAAGCAGAGATACAGTTTCCTGAGCCTTTAAATCAAAAAAGATGTGCACAATATATACTTAGATTGAAAGGTTAAAAGTTCAATATTTAAATAAGTTATATTTTCACCTGTCTGACTCCGCATGGCTTAATATTTGAAGGCAAGCTTCTAAATCGCTTTGGCTCAGATAGGATTGAAAATAATAATTTAAACCGCATATAATACGAAGAAGGACACAAAGCCTATTTCGACGAGTTGTCAGTGGTAACACTGGTTCTCTCTGAGAAATACAAGCATTGTTTATACACAATCATAATGTAAATCTTGTCACGAATAGTAATTGCTTACCAGTTCCTTTTTCAAAGTCGCCATAAGCCTGTTTTGTAAAGTAGTAATAGTATCAGCCTTAATTTGGTTGAGTCTTAGCCATTCGGAATCACGTGATAAAATTCCAGCCAAATATAAAGGCTAGGTAAGATAAATAAATACATTGTGAGCAAAACAAATTGTAAAGTAAATCTATATGAAAACAGATCTTAAATACCCACCACGTCCACACACGAAGTTAGTGTCAATTCTAATGCAAATTCAGGTAAGATTTTTAAATCAGTCAGCTTCATTCGCACAAAAAAAGTATGGTGTGGAGCTAATGCACACATAGTATACAACATATTCCTTTAATAGGATAAAATTATGATTAATTAAAAATGTTTGTTATAATTTTTGGGAGCAAAAAAAAAAAAAACCGAAACCTGAGATGAATTTTATAATCAGATGGTAAATGGTTATGAACATCTATTAGCATTGCTACAATCTAGACATATTTTATCAAATTAATTATACATAGACGATTAATATGATTCGAAACTTATCATAAAAGGTGAAAATTGAAATTTACCTCTTCAAACATCTGTGGATTATTAGTTGTCATACACTTGATTAAAATGTATCCATTTTCTAAAAGTGCTAATGCCCGAATAAAATCCTATTATGCAATTAAGACATATGTGAATCGGCTGAACAAAAAATACAGATATGGTATACAAGTAATAATGGATATATATTTTGAAATGAGTAATACTTTATAACTAATTCCTAATGATGAAAGATCCCATGTATACAATATTATTGGCAAATAATATTCCAAATTTCTCACTATATCACTCCGAAGATATTTAAACAATAAAGGATTTGCTTTTATAAAATCACAATATTCTTTGACCCTTGACTGACCCATCTCGTAAAATAAATTCGCGGACTTTACAAGATCATATAAATCTTGCAAGATCGCCCTGTGCATAAAATAATGCATGAGAAGATTGATATTTTTAATTTTATAATCAGATATGATATATTTTATTAACCTTAACGTTGCTTCATGACTGACTAACTGTACATGTGGGCCCTGATTTGTCTAGAATGATAAGAATTTGGTTTATTTATCATTCATGAAATTTAATTGTTGTAAGTAATTTAACAGCTTATAAAAGCTTACTGTAGGCGTTAAAGGAGGTCTTGGATAAAAATTTGTGATAATATGAGGAATGACTAAATTTTGGTTAACCAACATAATCGTGCGTATAGTTTCAACCTAGTATATAATTAGAATTATTAGAATTTTATTTTAAAATTGTCTATACGGTTACATATTTGACCTGCCTGCAAATATCTGTTTAGAAATTGTAACTGAGAATCATCGTACAGACTCAGTATATAAGGTAAGAAACTTTCGTAATCCTAAGCAGTCAAGCAGTCGGAGTCAGTAAACCATTAGAAAGTCCTGCTATTCTTATTGTAAAAAAAAAATAAAATAAAATAAAATAAAATATGGAAAAAAAAAATACCAAATTCTGATTCAAGAAAATATCACCACCTTTCTCAAGCCAAATAAATGCCTGAGTTATTGGTAGTTGTGCGGTATTGTGTGCCAGAATCGGTTGCTGGGGATTGTGTGCCATTTTATTTTCAACGCGTATTTCTGACCCAAACCTTTTTTTCGGGTTATTTAATAAATTTCTAAGTCACATGTCAAAGTTGATCATAACCTGAATTAGTGATATTAAACAGCGGTTTCTTACCAATGTAACTTCCGACACACGAAAAAGAATATTTGGCAAAATTTTGTAAAGGAGGCTGAACAAATGATACCAATATTTACAGATACCGCGTTATGACTTCAGAGTAGATAGCATAGTAACATTTTTGGGCATACCTGAGGAACATACCTCAAATTGAGACTGCTTCAACCGAGATATGTTTCTATTAACATACTTTAAACAGATCTTTAGTATATATACTTTGTAAAACAATCTTGTATATATTGTTTAGTAATAACGTTATTCTTATTTACTAGTGACCTCCTGAACAACTTTATTTAATGCATAAATATCGATTTACATAGTATAAGTTTGACATTACTATGTAGTAACTGTTAGCGATCTCAAAGTGGCAATGTAGTCTTCAATTATCACACATTACACCACCTAAATAGCTTGCACGGTTTCGAATCCGCATTCCAAACAACACGCTTGCTTGGATCAACATATGTCGGACAATCAATCTTTGTCTTGTAGGTGGGATAAATTTACAATCGTAAGCAAAATGTCATAATACAGTATTTATAATTAATAATTGTAAACTTGAATTTAATGCCGAGTAGCTAGAGGTGTCAACTGTATATACGTACGTTAACTTTTTGGAATACGTGTAGAGCATTCAGACAAAATCTTAAGAACAAGTTATTGTCACTATTTATTATTCTACTACTATAATTTAACAAAGTTTAATATAAAAAAAAAATCTAATTTTTCTAAGTAATTACAAAGTTACAATTCCAAAACATTGTTTTTTATTCTTATTCGTAAAAGTAATAGAGCATATTTCGAAAATACATACTGACCAGACTAATTTATCAATATTAAACACATCTTTGTCAAATAATTTAACGTCTGGATTACAAACAAGTGGTTGTAATTCATTATATAATTCTGTTAATTCTTGAAATTTTTCTTCGTATTCTTGTCTACATATATAATATGAAAGAAAAATGTGTTAATAAGGTTAATCAATCTCACAACAGTAATTACTCACAACATTAATTACTTTAATTAATTCTTACATATAAAAATCATTATGTTTAATAGCGACTTCAAAAAATAACTTCCATTCGGACTTTTCAATATATTGACCTTCATAAATTAAATAAAGTATCAAGATTGTATCTTGCTCACTGTCTATCAACTCTTCGCTAAATATTTCATTAATAGCTTTCGAAAATTTTTTATCAATTTTCATTACTTTGTCAATAGTAATCAACAACAAATCTAATATATCATTTTTAGCGAGGATTATTGAATTTATGTCGGTCAAAGATGTGTTGTTATTGCTATTATAATCAATGTTAATATTGTTGCATACAAAGGGTAGTTTTGGAATTCTACTAAATTTTGAATCATTTAATGCTGCTTTAAGAATAATTAATTCTTTGGAATAAATAATTGCAAGTGCACTTGTAAGAATCTCCTTTTGTCCTAAAATTAATATAAAACGTGATTCGATTAAATTTAAGCCGAATGTTCAATAGAATCAGATTTATCTTACCATCAATATATATTTTACAATTTTTTGCAATCTCAGATTCTCTCGCAGAACTTATTCCAACAAATTCTTCGTCTCTACCCAAAAGAACTTCTAATTTCATTTTTAACAAGTTAGAAAAAGTCTCTAACATTGCAAGTTCATTTCGATATCCTATAGGCTCATTTATATTATTACATTGAGTGTCTTGTAATTTTTTAAAATGGGATAATTCTGCAGAGTTCATTACAAGCACCCGTAGTTGAGATAATAATTTTGAAGGAATATAATCTCTTTTAATAAAATGAGTAAGTTCAGAAAGTTCTAAACTTGATAAAAGATCTAGTTTTTCATCACACTGAGGATCTTGTGAAATGTTTACTTTGATCACTACCCAGTCATCAGGATTATTAGGAATACAAAATCCATAACCTACTAATACTATTTAAAAATTAATCATTAAATAATGGACTCGAACATATATATATATATATATTTGTGTATATATATTTATATATTTATGTATTTATTTATTTAAGATTTTATTAAATTCGCACTTACATTCTTCATTGGACTTTAAGCCCAATTTGAAAAAAAAATGGAAGGTATTAATTATGAGAATAACGTTCGTTTATTCAAAAGTTATAGAGAATAAAAAATTTACTTTAGCACCATAATTATTATATATCTGCTGACCGGCTTTCAAATAATTACCAGCAACTAAGCGTAACTCGTTCCTTTCATGAACTTCCCAAGTAATTTTTTGTCTATGCTTATGATTAAAAGAATCAATCAATGGAAATAAAGCTTCCTTTACTTCAGTATCGTCTGGATCAACTAATTTGTTTGGAAAACATCTTGATGATATTATATCGCATGCCCACAAATATAGCTCCCTATACAAAAATAAGATTACATGTAATATGAATATAAATATAAATATCTTTATCGATATATATATATCTTAATCGATATGTACCGGACCACGGTACCCCATGCAAAGTACCCTATTAAAAAATTTCATGGTGAAATGTAAAATACCCGGGGATATATCCTATGTAAAGAAAAAACATTTCATATGAAAAATCGCTTAGCATAGCACCTGTGTATTATACTGTAGATTGTATTATACCCGGGATACCGTGGTCCGCACTGTACAGTATCCATATATATATTTATTTATTCCCTGGTTCTTATTTTCTTTTTGTTTGATTATATATCCTCTTTTTTACTTTTTTTAATGATATACGAATTTTAAACTATTACCATTAACGTTATCAACGTTAACGTTGCTAACGAAAAGTAAAAGTTGTTGGTTAAAAAAAAGAAGAAAAAAATGGAAGGAAACGAAAGTTTTATGATTGCAGTAAAGCTAAACTTTATGAAATGTGTAACTTTAATTTGAAAAGATATTATGGAAGTATAATAAAAACCTGGGAATAAATCAGTTATTATCCACGAAGTAGAGCTGCGAAGCAACCATTCCGTTATTATTCGATCATCAGATCCGGGTATGATTTTTAGTTATTGCTTCGTGGACAATAACATAACATACATATTTCACAATTGTATATACGTATATAGCTTACCATGATAACCCATTAATGAATTCACCATTTGATACAATTTTTAAAACCTCATCAAATTCCTTCCTCAACAATTCTTTCCTACTCTCAATACCATAACCGAGATTGGTTCCTCTTAACCACGACATTTCTCGTTCCGTGTAAGTCAAAGGAGTAGGTATATACTTTGGTAAGATATTGATATACGGATGATAAAAAGACAATTTTCCAAGAAGCCGTTCATGAACCAAAAATGTAGCAAGCGCAGCACGACAACTAAGTGGAGCTAGAAATGGCAAGTATTCACGAGCAAGTTTATGGGATATTGTTAGATTTAGAGGAAGTGTAGCAATTATTTCGTTTGGATGAATCGGTTGCATAGCATAACCGCCACCCATTCCATTTTCATCTTTGTATAAAAATTAAGAGCGAAAACAAAAATATACACATAAGATTCAGTAATGTTACATTCATCATAATATTTGATCGATGAAATGAATCGAAGTCTACTTAAGTCTAATAAATTCACCTTTGTCAAACCTAACTTTAGGAAAAGTAGCCTCGTTCTCACTTAACCAGTTTACAAATTCATCCATTATACATACACACACTAACCATTATGCAAATAATTTATGAAAAATTTTTCACATCTATGTTACGCAAACACAAAATTGATTATCTTTAGCGTTAAAATTTACAAGTTTATTGACATCTCATTATTCACTAGCAACAAAAGGCAAAGAAATCACAATATAATAGAAGAATTAAAAATAATACTATCAAAGTAATGGAAGCTGTATCAAATAAGCACAGGGAAAGTGAAAGGAATCACATAAAATAGGATAGTGAAGAATAAATCAAGTTAGGCAGTTGCGTGCTCCGCTTGACGTTTTCGCAAATTATCGCCTAAGCTACGTGCAGCTGCAGCACAAGCTTGGCAATGGTCGTTTTTGTGCTAAATAAAAATATACGCGAATTATTGATGACTAACAAATAGACAATGGCTTCAATTGTTTAATGTTGATATTAATATACCTGAGAACTATAAATACAAATAGGCAAAAGTCGTTAAACAATTATGTAAAATATAAAACAAATCACATACAAATCTTTGAGCAAATAATGCATACCAAATATTGGCACACTTTTGAGATGATTCAATAACAAGATTCATAAGAGAATTGACTTCAGGAGCTTTCAAAGATATCAATCTTGCAGTAACACCGGCCAATTCTTTTTTAAAAAAGAACTAAATATTACAAACAAATACATTATGTAATTCTAAGGAGAAACGTGTATTAATAACCTGCATTAATTCTGCACTGATTTGCGCAACCTTCACGGCTGCCAGATCTTTCAGCGCATTCCTACTCGCAACAACTAATGGTCAATTTTAAAATCATATGATTACATTATTTCATGCATATTTCTTGACAAGCACTCACATAACACGCGGCCGAACTTTCATAGCTTTTAAATAAATGAAAATGAAGTATCAGAAACATACAACAGTCTAATCAAAACATCTGAATCGTTCGAGAACGCACCAAGATTTCATTAAACACAAGTTATCTTCAGTCATTTTGATTTTTTTTTATCGATAAAAAATAAATTTACGTTGAAGGATTTCAATAAGGGGAATCGTCTTGATTTTTCTTTTTAGAGAAAAGATAATATTTAAATAGTATTTAATCTATAGGCTTTTATGATCTCATAATTATACACACACATTTCGTTGGAAATACGTAAATTCACAAGCCCGCAATTCTCACGATTTATACCTAAAGTAGTATGGTATGAGGTGCGAATGTATTTGAGTAGGATTATAATTAATTACCATACTCACGTGTATGGTAAAGCTGTTATACCGGTCATACTTGTGCGTAGTAAAACTATTATATCGATCATACTTATGCGTATATTGCGATAAATAATTTGATAAAACATTGATTATTTAAATGATATCGATAATAAAAAAATTTGTTTGTAATAATAGAATAATCGATTATATATGTATGATACGAATGATTGATTATTTAAATGATATCGATAATAAAAAAAAGTTTGTAATCATAGAATAATTAATATATGATGCAATTGATTAGTCGATGAAATAGTATATTAAACAAAATGTTCATAACGATAGTTTTGAAATTCTTTTTTACTTACAATTCATAGACCGGGTAAAATATGTTGTTTAAATATATATTCTGAGAATTTTGTAATTTTTATTAAATAAAGATAGTATATAATTTTTAGAGCGAAAATGGATAATTTTAATATTCAAATTATTGATGGAATTGAAACGATTTTTGAAGAGGATCTTGAACGTTTTGAGCGTTTTGAAAGTGTTGAAAGTTATGAAACAGTTGATGTAAATAACAGTTTATAATATTTTAAAAAATAAATATTTTAATTAAACTTCTAATTAAAGTAATTAATTAATAGATCCTGACTTCAGATGAAGAATCTGATAATATTGAATATGATCCGGCAATTGCATATGAACTACATAATGAAAATACAGTGACTTATTTTACAAAAGAATTAACATCCAATGTTATTAATCATACATTAACACCTGTTGAATATCCTGCAACAAGTCCGAAGGGTGTTGCCTATGTATTTAATATTGAAGGTTGGGAAGAACCATTAGCCGCATTTAAAGATGTAAGTAATATAATAATATATAATAAATTTTTATTAAACTTACTCTAAAATATATTTATTAATATATTTAGATCCAATATTCAATCAGTAAACCTGGAGGTGAATATAAAGTCATGTGCCCCTATCTTAATGTCGAAGTAAAACGTGAAATGTGCACTTGTCAAGGTTCAAAATTATGTGAATTTTCTGCTAATGAGCTTCAAAATGAAGTGCATCAAAGCATAGATATGGATTCAGATCTTATGACACGTATTGCTCAAGAAATTTCACCTAATAATTTAAACAATAATACCTTTGAGTAAGTTATCAAAATAATACTATAATAATAATTTAAATAAACTTTTTTTAAATTATATTAATATATCTTATATAGATTTTATTTGGCGGCCCAAAACTCTCCTTGCAAATTTCAACAAAATAACAAATTATGTGAAGGAAAATCAGTATTACGTCGTTTAACTTGTCAAAATTCTACAGAATCTACATATTTTATTGGATGTGCAAATTGGAAATTTAATGAAAAGTATCATAGATTTATGCATATTCCTTCTGATATTAATATAGAAGTTTTATCCAACTTATTTAATGGCACATATGAAGTAATTAGATTAATAATTTTATTTATTATTGATATATAATATATATATTTAATTTATATATTATTATAATATTATTACATATAGGTGGAAAGTGATCAAATTCAACCTACAAATGTATGTTATACTGTTCTTTCAAATTCTTCAAAGAAAAAATATTGTAGTAAATAAAAAATTTATTTATTTTTTGTATTTATAATTTAACTATATTTTTTACTGTATATTTTATAGCACATGCACATCAAAATCAAAATATGATTTGCCGTGGTCATATTATTAAAAAATCATGCAAGGTTGAATTTTATAAACTTACACCATTGGACCTTAAAGAGTGTCTATTTGTAATTCTTGTATGTAAAGGAATACATACACATCCACCTCTGCCATCTGTATGAACACCTATTTATATAAAACAAAGACTTCAAGTTCTTGTTAATCAAGCAAATGAAGATTTGTTAGATATTACTCCTACTCATATTGTAACAGGTAAAGTTTATAATATAAATTAATATTATCCATTAATCTGTATTCCAGGCAAATTTGCCTGGAAAATTTAAAACATTTAGTAAATCTCTGCATAGTACTAAATCATACTAATTAAAAGCCCCCCTAATGCATAATTTTCCATAATCAGAAGAACCTGCACAATCATTTGATAATAAAATTGCCAGGCAAATTTGCTTGGAATACAGCACAAAACGATTTAAAAAGTTAATGAATGCCTGTGATCGACTGATCGACAGATTAAAATTAGCATTATTGTAGTGCCCGCATGTATTACTCTTTTAAAGACTGATAAATGCGCAACGATTAAGAACCTAAATTAGCACTATCGAGTACCTTTAGTACGTACGTACGTATACGTATGTACTTTATTGTTCCTATTATCAAAAAATCATACGTACTGCACTGTACGTACGGGTACTATTTGGATCATAACTATTCTTTTGGTTCTTTATCGCATGTGAAGTGATACGTAAATGTTTGGGTGCATTTAAAGCTACTCTAAATTAAAAAATGCTGAATAATCGTCTTGTAGAATATAAATAACCTGAAGCAAGCGATTGTGAGATTGTCATATGTGCCTTGAGGTAGTTGACGAACTACCATTTTGCTCGTGTATGCTATTTTTTTTTCGCTGTTCTTTGTTCTTTATTACATGATAAGACACCAGTTAGGACAAAGTACAGTAATCTCGTATTTATCGCTTAATGTCTCATGTACAAACACACAAACCTAACACCTGACAACCTGACAATTTGTCTTATTAGCAACCTACGTTAATTACGTTCTTTTATCATTCTAAAAAAATAAAAAATTCGTTTACCATATGCTTTTTTGTTAAAAAAAGTTTTGCGACGGCACCATTCCCATTCTTTTTTTTTTATTTTATTGAAGAAAAAGGAAATTTGTTAAATCACTTTGGCAATACTTTTTTTTGCCATCAAAAAAAAAAAACAAATAAATAAATAAAAAAAATAAATAAACCTTCAATCATGTCTCTTGACAATACAACTTCTAATGAAGATTCTGACCTGCAATATTTAGTTACTTTCGAACGTGAATACCACGGCGAATTGGTAATCGATCGCGAACTAGTAAGAGCTACTGATAATGCAATAAATGAAGAAGAACAAGAATATATAGAAGAATCGGACGAAGATACAAATATAGGAGTGAGCACTAGGAGGAATAGAGGAAGAGGTAGGGGTAGAGGAAGAGGTAGGGGTAGAGGAAGAGGAAGGGGTAGAGGAAGAGGAAG